TGGAAGAACTAACTTATATATGAAAAGTAAAATAAATATTTACTAGATTCGGATTTTTTTCTATAACATTAATGTTGTATGTCCTAGATAAATATTGCAATCCATTAATTTTGTTATTTTACTTCATATTTAAAAAGGCACAGTTAAACAAGACCTCCTTGATGTTTGCTGTTTGAATAAGAGTGTTTGCTCATTACTTTCACTAGAGATACAGTTTATTTTAACCTGTTATGGACAAACTTATGGGTATCCGATAAATATTAAATACTATGTACTAATGTCATGAGTCTCATATAATTTGGATAATTTACTCTCTAGCATATTTAAATGGACTGCGATATGTGATCCGTGGTGGACTGAGGTGTGTGATAATTCCATCTTATTTTTAGTTAATAAATAATGTTATTGAATGAATGACGATATTACTATAATTATTATCATATATTATACAAAAATATAATAATCATCGAAGGACGTTTTACCAGAATCAATTATCTTTAATTTCTTTCTTTTTCTTTCACATGTCTCATATGCACAAACTCATAGCTTTTGTTAAGATCCTACTGTACTTTTAATTCAAAAATTTTTATTTAATGCTGATTTCTTTCTCTTGGTCCATAAAATCCACATCAAAATAATTTCTAAATTGCTAAAAGATATTGAATCAGTATTTTAAAACGAAAATACGGGTGAAAAAAAAAGGAATAACATTGTTTTACATTCAGCATTTTAGTATTCCAAAACTTCTTCTCTACTTCTTTATTATTTCACTTGGTAGCTAGATTGTTTTTATAAGTTGTTATTATTTAATTTTTCAGTTTTGTAATAAATAAATAAAAGTCATTCGTTTTTAATTAATAAAATTTTAATCATGATCGTGTAATTGAAAAAAATCGAGTTCTATAAATTACTAGCGGACCAGGCAGACGTTTTCCTATACACACTACTTAAATCCGATAACAACTTATAAATTTAAAAAAAAAAAAACAAAAACAAAACGAATTGTGAATCCAAACCATCCAGGGCGCAACCCAAACGCAAACAAAGAAATTCATTTAAATCGGTCCAGCCGTTTAGGAGGAGTTCAGTGACAACACACGTACAGTAGAATTATATATAGGTATAAAGATTATAAATATAATATTTTTTTTTATTTTCCATTAAATTCCGAAGGATTTATAAAATAAACCTAAGGATTTATATCGTTTACAAAAATTGTAATGGTTCAGTGTTCAACTTTCAGTATTTTTTGTGTTTCCTAAAAACAAAAGATTTTGCTAAGAAACAAAATTGACGTCATTTTTAGTGATTGTTTTTAGCATAAATAGAAGAATATTGTATGTTTATAATTTCTGGTATTATCATAAAACCATATAACTCATAATTTGTTTCCAGATAGATAAAACATTGAATTTACTTTACTTACTCTGTAAAGTCTGATCTGTTATCATCTTTTATAAAGTCTGTAACTTAATCTATTTGATCTTTCAACTTATTTTGATTTAGGTACAGTTTGCAGAATTGCCTTCTTTTCTTGAAGCTGTTTGCGTTACCTTGTATTCCATACTTTTTTAACTTTCACAGAGAAAAATGACATGACATGACGTCCTACGTAGTCAAAAGCTTGAGTCGTGTCTAAAAATACTGCAACTATAAGAATCTTTTGTGATACGCTTTCCGTCATAATTTTAATAAGATGGACACATGCCAGACTTCTGGAACGTTTCTTTGTAAAGCCGGCCTGGTATCAATTCAAAACACTATGTTTTATATAACGTGTTTAATTTATTAAAAGTTTTTTTATACATTTTTGAAAACACTCGTAAGAGTGAACGGTTGATAGTTTTGCGATTGAGCCCTGTTACCTTTCTTGAAAAGTGGTTTCATAATAAATTGTTTTGTCTTCGAAGGGAAGAATCCTATACAAAAAGGTGGGTGCATTCATCATTTCAGCAGTACATACGCCACTACATAGACTTCCATGTAGCACGATCCTGAGCCACCTGTATCCATTTGTTTAAGTTTTTTTAAAAAGCTTATAACTTTTTAAATATATGCTGCACACCTTTTTAATATTTCGATCAAAATTTGGTCATATCCCAATCGAATTTAAGTTAGTTGAGGCTTATTTTATGAATTTCTTATTAATTATGATTAGTCGGCAATAAGAACAGTTCTCGCACAGGACAGGCATCGCCTGGTGTGGGGGAAAAGTTTATTATTGTTTTTACTACTTACGAATTGTTTATGAAGATGTTGTGTTTAAAAGCAAGACTTGCTTTGTGTTTGTTACCTATGAAATGTATATTAAAAACATTTGCAACTTGCTGATATAGTGAATATTTAATGTATAATTATAATTTTACATTAAATACAAATGTGGTAGGGCCACGCAATAGTGTTGTAGCACCTATGGGCAGGTCCGTCCGAGTAAGTACCATGACCTTACAGAAGGCCGGCGTAAAGTAGAAGTGTTACACTTCTGCGTTTCATCTGGTGAGGTGACTGAGGTAGCCGAAACCCACTTTATTTAAAGGTTGCAACGCATTTGCAACCCTACGGGTGTTGCAAATGTCTATGGGCGGCGGTTATCGCTTAACATCAGGTGAACCACCAGCTCGTTTGCCATTTTGTCACACAAAAATAAAATATTTCATGTGCAAAAAATGTATTTCTCTTTTTGCCTATACTTTATATTATCTGTTTCTGACAGTATGCAAAAATATTGTTTATAGTCGCGTGCATTGTATTTGTGATTATTCAATTTTTAATTCCTTTTTCACGATTAAATTTACGGTAAAGTTCTCTTTCAGTTAAGTAAAGTTGTTAAACAAACGATATTACTTTTTGTACTTCGATTTTTTTTGTAATCACGATGCAATTTTTTTTTATCAGATGCTTGGAATACATGAGGTTTCTTGATAAATACATAATATTTTTTTACATATCAGCGAGTACTTATACAAAGGCTGCCCTCAGAAATCGTTGAAGGTAGTCGTAGCCGAAATAAACTCACTTTTTCAGTCGAGTATGCATTTACCTTGACCGGCAGACAGTTTCGCCGGCTAATAAAATACAAAATGTACATAAACGACTAAAACTCCGAAGTGAAAATCAAACAGATTTAAATTATATATTAATTTTATATAGTGCTATTCTGTGTACTTAAGATAAAACATTAACATATGTATAAAAATGGGCAAAAAGTTTTAAAAGCCGCCACAGGAATCGAACCAACGTCTTCTTGAATTTAGCCCAGACACTTTAACCACTAAGCTAAACGGCTGATTGCCACGCCGATGAAAATCTTTACGTAGCTCTATATTGCTCTTTTCGCATTTTAAGCAATGCTTGTCGCATCTATTGTTATATCCTTAGCACACGAACATTTTTAGTATTGTTTAACAACGATAATTCGAACAGAAATGCTGCACTTTGCTATTTAAATTTAAATTTTATATTAAGTTTTCATTGTGCTAATCTACGCACCAAAAATATTAAAATTTGTAGAGAAATGGACGAGAAGGTGTTTCTCGCCGCAGGAATCGAACCCGCGTCTTCCGTAATCAGGAAGCAGTGTTAGCCTAGTTAGTGTTAGGGTTGTCAGCTTACGGTATTAGCAATAGAATATCTCTTCCGATCCATCGAGAGCGAAGTTTCCGAACCTTTATTTTGGTGTACTTGGTGTCATTGCAATCCCTAATATAGTGGGAATTTGTTGACAATTAATGCCAGTTTCAAGCAGTACTGCAGTAGTCGTACGGAATTACGCCTGTTGAGTTTTACGTTCATCGTCATAAAAATGATCAAAATACTTAATTCTCCGAATCGCGAATACACAGCTGTGATACGGAGCTTTATCACTAAATGTCAATTGAAGTCACTGACGAAGTCAACTTATGTTAAAGTGAAAATCTTGACGGTATGAAAAAAAATCCCAGTCTCGCAAATTAAAAGTAAGAGTTCCATTTTTGAATTCCGTAACTGCTTTTATATTTTACCAATGTATGTGGCCACTTCCAGTTGCTTTCAGTGTAGCCTACGTAGTTATGTATGTCGCAGCGAGAAGATGTGTCGCGAATATATCAGTGTTCCTCGTCCGCGCAATATCTTCATTGACCCGGTCGAGGACCGTCGAGGACCGGTTGAGGACCGTCACCGTTGGCGGTCCCGCCAGATAAAACACTTGACAGCCTTGGTACAACCGCGTTTCAGGGCGGTTCTCACCCCCCTCTAACACCGACTAACCAAGCACAGTCAACGGCTATCGCGGTCACGGTCCGCACCGAATCTCGATAGCCCATAGGCGACATACCTTAGTTAACGCACGCATGAGCACATGCGGGGTCCTAACTACTATGAAGGGCCTCGAACCTGTGGGTTCTGGCTAGCCCAGTTTCTGCGTTCGATGAAACTTTAATAGTTTCGAGACTGAAAGCATTAATCAGTTAATACAAGAATATTATTACTTCTCGTTTTTTTTTCTATTTGCAACGGTTCACCTGGTGTTAAGAGATTAACATCTGGTGAACTGTTGCCCATGGACAACTGAAGCGTTGGAGATGCCTTGCTAACGTTTAATAAAAGTGGGCCTCGGTGACCTCACTCACCAAGCAAAACTCGATATTAGAAAAATGTCTCCCGATTGAAATTATAGATGACATTGTGTTTTTTTTTTGTTTCAGGTAACGAGTGCTTTTAATCAAACTTATAAAATAATTTTGTGTTTTTGCCTCCAATGGTGAGAAGATTTGAAAATTCTGTATAAAGTGTGACACACTTATTTCTTAAGTAAATTTCGGTTTCTACAAAAACTAACAAATAAAGATATTTTTATTTTATTTTTTAATGTCCATACAGTTGAATGTAGTTATTGAAAGGATGAAATGGACTGGCGGCGAAGACAAAACTGGTATTAGTTCCTACAGATTTATTTTTTACCGAATTTTTTCTTTATCATTTTCATCAGATACAGACTGACTCAAAATACAAAAGCAACAATGTCGGCAGGTAATTCGTTTACAATGACTCTTCAATGGTACATGTATGCATGAGAAATAACGCTATCTAAACTTCATTCATTTTGATTTAAAGCGGGTTCAGCAGTTGCCATGATAGGGGCTAATCTCCGCTTCGGATCATCTGGGGCAAACAATGCAACAATTCTTAACAACACAAGACATTGCCCGCCAGGTGGAGCCGCTAGTGCTGCGGCGCTTTTAGCGCTATCAGGTCTAGGCATCTCGGCGAACATCGCACTTATGACTGTCATACTCAGTAAAAAGCAATTGAGGAGGTAAGTGCAAGTCAGTGAAGAGCAAATGAGGAGGTAAATAGTACCACCATCTGTCTTCTTCCTTTTCGATAGAAACACTGGTTGCCTGGAAGAAATAGCTTTAAGTAATACGGCCGCCCATTGTACAACCCTTACATAATTGCTATTTTTAATGTATTTTTATCGTGGTGTGTGCAATAAAGAATAATCTATCAATCAACTCTGATCAGGGAGATCTTTGCCTAAACAAAATTTCACATGGTTGGTTTAAGAGTCGCCAACACTCACAACTTTTATCTCATAATGTTTCACCATTTTCAACAACTACTGTTTTAAGGTTTACGTGGATATTGCAATGAGTTTTCTCCAGCTAATAGGAGTTCTACGTAATAGGTTAGGTTTGTTTATTCTACTATCTGAACTACACATAGACAATACAATCGACAATTTAATCGTATCCATAAAGTTTACGCTCCTGAAAATTTACCTAAGGCATTTCAATAGTTATAATCATATTGTTGATAAGTATACGATTAATATTGAGTTGTGTTATGAGATATTAACTATGTATATCGTAGGCGCCATTAGAGCAATTCTCATCCATAAATCGACTTTTATGCCCAACAAAAGCCAAAAGATGATTTATAATTATTTATCACTACAAAAATTGTAGTAAACATACTTATAAAATAATTCCACTATCCTGTGTTAACAAAATCACAGTTCCAATAATTGACAAAGCAAAGGAAAGAATTTTAGTACTGTCTATTTGCACTATCGTAACTTTGAACATTATCTGCGATCTGCTTGAACTAGATGAACTAAGCACAGCTTTTATTGACTTTTCGTTTAAATAGTTTATCGAAGCTAAAATAACCGTCTGTAAACTTTCAATGCTCTAACGAATTCTTTTGGGAATTTTCGTTTATCTTCAGAAAGTTCTGTAAAAATTTATAAGTTTAATCCTATACAAAATAATGATTAGTATTTTTAGATCATTTTGGTTCAAATTTCCGTGAACCAGTGATTCTATACGTTTAAGTTACATAAGGGAAATCATTTATTTGTTTATTTTACGGGATCTATATGTGTAGTAATTTGAAGGTTGGTTATCATGCATGCATTTATGACATGTATATTATACTAAAGAAAAGTGGTACTTTGAATATGAATTTGCATCTTGTTGGAGTGCTTGTATGACTTGTGATTTACAAAATATTATTTCAGGTGGTCACACGGTCTTCTTTTTCACCAAGCAGTAGTTGACTGTGCTCGCGCTGCTATACTTTTACCTCTAGGCATTGCTGTGTTTCGTTGCCAACCCGTATATAAATGTTCATTGGTAGAAACAGCTTTCTTGTTACTTGTAAGTGATGATTTTATAACTTTTTTATCTTAATAAATATTAAACATGTAATATAAAGAATAAATAGAAAACATTCAGTTCACATCCATCGAAATTATGTAATTCAGTTGAATACTAATACTAATTTTTATTTCAGGTAACCGTCTCAACAGTGAATATGTTGACGACAGTTCTAAACGATAGTCCAATATTTCCAGAAAATGAAGAAGAGCAAGCCGATCTATCTGCCCCACTACTCATGGATAGCCCTCAAGTAAGAACAATTTAAATAAATACAAAGAAGAATGTAAACAATAAACTGTAAATAATTGATTTTTTTTTCATGAAAATAAATGCAACCATAATAAGGACTCAAGCTTGCTGAATGAGATTTTAATATGCTAGAAAAATGCAAGATTTCTGAAGTTGTTTTTTCTTACCGTCAACCAAATGATAAATCCACAATAATCACAATTATAAATGTTATTGCTGCCATAGTTGAAACTCGAATTGCTTGAGTTTATAATCGGGTTTTCAGACACTACCATGAGCTTAACATATTATAAATGCTGATGTTTTAATATTAGTTATCATTAATAATCTATATCATTAATCATTTTAAAATTTAATCCGGCGAGACTGAACTGCTGTACATGTTTGTTTTAGTGTGTCCTTTTTGGAACATTTATGATATGGTTTGCCTCAATCACCATCAACCTTGGACCGACATTCTTATCTGGAGCCTTAGCAGCAAGTGCAGGATCCTATGGTTCCTACGGGCCATCACCATCGTGCCCATTGGTGCGAGGGCCCTTCAGGCATTACGTATTGAACGCTCTTTGGATTGGCGTCAACGCTGTTTGTGTTGGTCTTACCTTATTTCATCTGAGGAAACTTCACCGAGACCTTACGAAGGTTTGTATGATCTTCCTATAAATTTCAATCAAGTACAGACAGCACAGAGAAGTTTGAGATAACGTGTTTAAATGGCGCTTCCTTTGACATCCCGCTATTGCATTAATTTGTGTTTTGGCTTAGATTCAAAGCATCCCATTGATAAACACTTCTCCATAACCATTTAACTACCAAAGCTACATGTATTAATCCACACAAAGTATCACCACGCTTGTTTCTATGAAGAACAATAGAATTAGCAACATTATTAAGTGTCAACAAAGTATTGTAGTACAATTTTGGTTAGCGCACACAGGTACCTGAAAAGGAGTGTCATCAATCTGATTGCAATAAAGTCCAGTACAAAAAGAAGTATGGGCGTTCAATTTACTACAATGACAACTCGAAAATAACATTCAAAATCACGTTGGTTCAGCTAACGTCACCCGTGAGACCTTAAAGCAAATAAGATTTAAATTTTCGGTATAACTAACATTATAAAGCGATTGGGACCTTATGATATATATGACAATGACTAAATAAAGAAAAAAGGCTATCAGTGTTAATACGTTGGAGGTAGAAGAGTGGGATATTAGGTTTCGATAATTTAAATCTTATGGCATGCAGGCTAACGTAGAAGCTGTACGAGTAGCTGGTTTAGTGACCACGCTTGTCAGCATGGCTGGAGACAACAGGCGCATGGATTCACTACCAAACAGCGTCGGACCAAGAGTAAGTATAGTGCATGTTCAAAATTAATTACCTTTATTTTTCTTGTTGTAAAGTAGATTCGTCTGTATGCACCACTATTGCAAATCCTTCATTTTTACTTCTCTTTTTCCAGAAATGCGACATATTATTGTTCCATTTTTTTTACTAAAGTCGCTAGGTGCCTCTGGAATTGCAGAAAAAACTATACTTGTAACAACTTTATAAAATATAATATTTTATGTTTGTATTCAGATAAAATTTTAGTGTTATGCTTACTATATAAATCATTAGGATAAAATACTTGACACTTAACGTGGAATAGTTAAAAAATCTGCAAGTTTACCTTAACCTTTCACATTTGACTGTCTCCTATAAAATAGCTGTTACTTCTACTACTACTAGTGTGCCTTTTAGGGATTCCAGCTATAATTTGTTACCTTGTACCACGTGATGACTCATACAACTTTTAGACCGTAGACGGGGCAATGGCTGATGGGCAGTGTGGTCCCACGGGAAGCGCCAATTTGCCGCTTGGTGGTGGACGTCGCCTCCGGGGTTACCTCGCGCGGGTAGAGAGGGAAGGTGTACGGCGCGTTCGCATGTTCCTTGTTATAACCGCCGCATACGTCCTCTTCTGGGGTCCTCTGTTTATTATAACTTTGCTGCATCACCCCGCCCTGACGTCTCACGTAGCTTACGAAGTAAGTCAACCAAAAGCTTAAGTATCAACTCATCAATGTTAATAACACTGATTTTTGTCACCTTATTCACGTTTAAAGTAATTTCCTATATGATATTTCGAAAATTAGTCACTATGCGAATGACTTCCTATACACATGCATGTAGGCAGTCAACACAATGCCGATTCATCTGACGTAAAGACGTATTCTACCATATTCTACTTTAAGATAAATTTACCACACCATGTTTTTTTCATAAAATGTGTATAAAATCATGAATACAAGCTTATATATTAAAACCATTGACTTTTTATTTTCTTTTAGAAAAGAATTGATTAAAACTGTTAGAACTTAAACTCCTCTTGGAACGCGAATTTCCTGGTCGACGTTTGAGTAATGTTCTCATTGTCATTACCCTAATGTTGTAACTTAACAAAGTCATACTCAATTAACTGTTACCTGTATGGCGATTAGATACCGTGGAGTTATTAATGGCCCTCGATTTACAAACTGCAATTACACAAATTATATGTAATGTTATATGTAGTACATAATGTTAACATAATAAAACCATTCAATTATTACTTTTTCCTTAGATGTATTTCCAAATAACACTGCACATCTCATACGTCCACGCAGCGGTAAATCCCCTTCTATTTATGGCTCTACATAGAGCACTACGCCGAGCAGCTTTACAGCTGTGTTGCGGATGCTGCGTCCATTGGAGCCAGTTTGTCCTCGCTTTAACTGCCGCAGGTAATACAAAACAAATGATCAGATTTAATTATATACGTACCATTATAATAAAAACTATTATTCTTCCGTACAATAAATCTGAAGTTTCTTTTTATTAAATTTTGGATTTTATAACAATTTTATTTGCCTGAAAGCAAAAATCCGCCACGTATATATAAAGCTTTTCCTTTAAAACAAATTGTATCTAATTTGTAATATATTATTTCGTTTTTAGTCTTACCTTACGACTGCAATCAATGATGTTTAATAGAGATGACGCATGTCCATAATGCGCGGCGTTAAAAATTGTTCAGCTTTACATTATAAGTTAATGTGACAGATGATATAGAACGTATGATACGGAAAGAGATAGCAGTCTATAGAATTACACCGATTAGCGTAATTTGCGCGCATCACTTTCGGTGCGCTAGTGTCTATATAATGTATCTATTGTATATAATATCATTTACTTTAAAATTTATATTATTCGTTATTTCAGCGCAATCGCCACTCGCCCCCGCATCGTTCTCCCCCGCGGCCGCGTCTCCGGAGCCCCCTCCCGCCCCTCCCCCGCCACTGGTGCCGCCAGCGCCGCCATCTTCGCACACCGCGCCCTCTGCGCCACACACGATGATGGTAATTACCTCTTATATGTAAGTGTTAACACCGTAATACGTGATTTAAATTTCTGGCCCGAACCTGCACGCGTACGAATAGAATAGAATAGAGTGTCCCCAAATATCCGTAACTCTACGCCCATTACCTGTAGCCCCCTATTAGTTTGCTCTTATCCGAACCTTAGAAATGCATGGTAATGTCGCCACCACAACCATCAATAGATCAATGTGAATCCACCTTTTCGTCCGTTTTATTATACACACACGTTCTTCAGCGGCGGTGAACAGAATTAATATTTTTTTTTTTATATCTCTCGAAGTTATTGACGCAAATATCGATAAAGATAAACATGAAAAATAACATTTGACAATTGACGTAAAATATCGGGTGACGTGACCGCGCGCTGCTACCGGTGTCCTAAGCTAAGCAATCTCAAAATCTCGATCTCAGAATTGGGAAGTTGGGGAGTATGATGCCGAGAGTATGTCGAGTGCGCGTGTGCAGGGAGACGAGAATATGATGGAGTGGAGTGGCAGCGTACGGTGCCAGGGGCGCTCGCCGCCGTCCTCGCGTTCGCCAAGCCCGTTGCTGCCAGCAATATGAGCCAATCACCCACCACACCTGCTCGCGAGACATATCCGCGCTCTGCCTTTCGAATCTACCCGCTACGAAGCCCCTTCTTAGATATAAGAGAGCCCTTCTAGAATACATAGTCAAATGTCGATGTGTGTGTACTTTAATGTGCGAAATTAAAATAGTACCGAAAAGTGATTGGAGGTACCCTATTCAGTATATGCGTACAGTGAATATAAAGCTATTACTATACTAAATTAATTAATATGATCTCAATACTTAATTCTTATTATTCCAGATAGGAAGCTCAATCTGAAATGGCGGTAATAAATTAATACTAATTGATGATAAATGCATTTAAAATATAAGATATAAAGAATGTAGATATTAAATATTATTAAATATATTTTGTGAGGAACATTAAACAGCAACATATGAAACACCAAGTAGATATGATAAAATCGAAATATAAATTATTTATAGTTAAGAAGTAATTTTTATCATAAACCTAAATCAATGAATATTACCAGCATTATGAAAAATATATTCCGATAAGTTTCGATTTTTAAAGCAATAGAATATTTTTAAAAAGGTTTAAAATATTTAATCGTTTGATTTTGTTGAATTTTTTTCTTAATTATATCCTACTGAAGTTCGATTTAATACTCCGCTTAAACGTTTATGTTGCATAACCACTTTGGACTGCAGCATTAAAAATCCAAACTTTTGTAATTATATAGATATAGGATAGTCTTCGATCTCTATTGTTCTCATAGGTTTCTCGATGTAAATATAATTCCATGTCTGTATGTACAAGTATTTGTTTCATTTTATTATTGGAACAAAATGCCAGCCGCTAATGTAGCAGCAACGAAAATTAATGGCTCTAGTCTTCTACTACATTTCTTAGGTGCTGCTGTGTATAATTAATTCTACTTCTTAATATATTTTATTTTATTAATAAAATTTTTTTTGTAATTTTAATTAATTCATTTTGAAATTTATTAACTAGATACTATCTATTTAAAATAATGAGCCAAACTTATTCGTTTCTGTAATTTTAAGTTATTTCTATCTTCTAGAAAAATAAAAAGGGCAGCTCTTGTCATATTTAAGTATTTCATTAACGTTAATATAATAAATTTAGAATAAAATTATTTAAACAAAATTGATAAGGCACATCAGTTTAATGCACGGCTGGTTCAATTGTAACTTTAAATTACATTTTACTATATTACAGGAATATTCACTATTTTAAATACATGTAGATTCTTGTACAGGTAAATATAATTATTCGTGTATTTGTTAAGAATCACAACATGCCATTATGTAATAATAAAAAAATAATTAAACTAGGGAAAATATAATAAAATGAGTTACATAAACCGTCTCTTTGTATACAAAAATTTGTAAATAATATAAAAAACTGATAATTGTAACAATAGCAATGGATTAAATTAATTGTGTTCTAAAAAAAGACCATAAAAGAAACTTTTAAAAATAAAATCTAAAGCGAATCAAAGAGTTTCATTTCATAACGAAAGTATATTGATACCCAAATCTCCTCACTTATAAGCTGGATTTGATCGCGGAGGCAGTTAATGTCTATTATATAGTATAGTTTAGTTTTATTTATGGGTCGGCACAGCTTGGGAAACATGTTGTCACTGGATTGTTGTTATTTTAACTAGACCTCCGCCACTCACCACGTCTTGGCCGTGGAGTGTAGGGAGAACCCAGCTCTGCCCCGCGGTCTTACCACTAATACATCAACGGTGCAGCCCCGAAGTCAACGAGGAAAGGCAGAGTGGAAAACCTCAACACCAGCTCCTCTTACCTTGCGACTCCAGGTCGGCTGCAGAATACAGGGACAGAGTGTCCAGCTACCACCCACAATCTTCTTTCGGCGGCCAGTAAATTAAAATAAAACCCTGTATTTATTCTTGAATTTAACTTAATCGTAATGAGTCAATTTATCATCGTTATTTATTAGTTAAGAGCATCGTGGTTAAGATGTCTTTTGAAGCTGTCACGGTAACATGGAATCGATTATAAAAGCAATCAGGTTAAAAGAATTTAATATAAAAGGAGACGTCGTAAATATAAAACGTGAAAGCACTTACTCGTTTATTTGGGATACAGGAAAAGCATAGTCAACTTTTGTCACGTCGTAAAACAGGTCACATGCCTACAGAATTTTATGAACGACGACACTGCGCACACCGGCACTTGGTGGGTATTTGGTAATAATCACTACATAGTATAAAACAAAATCGTCTCGCTGTCTGTCTGTCCCTATGTATGCTTAGATCTTTTAAACTGCACAACGGATCTTGATGTGGTTTTTTTACTGGATAGAGTGATTCAGGAGGAAGGTTTATTTGTACAATACGTGCATAATATAGTAAAGTATATATAGTATCAGCATTGCAGCCGTGCGAAGCCGCTAGTTTAAAATAAAATAAGGAGCCGTTCTTTTCCTTCGACGATTATATTAAAACAAATGTATCTATGGTTAGTTCCCGCACATTTTCGTAGGTCGTCACACATATAATGTCCACCTTCACTTATGCTGCGATGGCCAGTACGTGGCTGCCTCGAGTACCTTTCTTCTGCATCGCTTATCCCTTCTATGAAGTAAATGGTCAGCCCATTGCCAATTAAACTAATTCTTCTCAGAGTTATGGTGGTTATGGTGGTTTTGTCGATGAATGCATGTGGCTCAGGATCGTGCTAGTCTGTGAGGGATGCGTATGTTCAGCAGTGGACACTAACAAGCTTAAATGATGACGATGATGATGATTTATAGTTTTTTTTCAAGTTAGTTTTTTTTTAGTTAATTGATTAATAGTTTTCTTGCAACGTAGATAAGAATTTATTTGATGGTCATGTCTGGATGTCTGAAAAATATTTGTAAAACCGTTATGCTGATTAAGAATACAGGGATATAGTCTGACGCCCTCGATAGCCCGTAGGCGTCACTCATAGCTAACGCACGCATGAGCACATGCGTTACTCTACCAACTGTAGAGGACCACAAACCCGTGGGTTCTGGCTAGCCCACCGGTTCTGCGTTCGATGAAGCTTTCAAAGTTTCCGGACTGAAAGCGTTAACATTAGTTAATACAAGATACAAGAATCTGACGCGGATAACGTGTGAATTTTTAATACTGTGCCTATCGGAAATTTCATATCTATCTATCTATCTATCTACATATATATAAACATTTCGTAGCACGATGTATGTTCCCGATAAACTCCGAAACGACTGAACCAATTTTTATCAATTTTTTAAGCATTTGTAATTTGGTCCAACTTGGGAGATAGGGTAGTTTTTATCTCAATTATTGATCTCAATATTTGTTATTGCAAATTATTTGTTTATTAGATGACAAAGAGCTATCTGTGAGTCCCATAAGATTCTAACAGATGGCGGTGTAAGATAAATTTATCGGCTGGATTGAGTGAGTATCCGATAGATGGCGCCATGCTAAAAGCAGAAACGTATGGACCCGGTAAAATTGGCGCAGACGAAGCTGCGCGAGCCAGCTAGTATACACATGTATTATATTAAGTTCTATACAACAGGTTCAAACTTAAATCACCCGGGGACGATGTTGAAAAGAACTTTGAAATTCTTTTTTGTTTCTAGGGCGTGTTTGAAACTTCATTGGTGCAAGCTCTTATCCATTTACTTTACAGACGCAGCAAATTTCTAAATTAATTTCTGAATAAATTACTCGTAGTTACCACTGCAACCGAAAACAGATTAGTATTGAAAACAGACAAATTCTGTTTAATTTTCAAATATTAAATGAATTGTGAGATTGAAACAATATTTTTGCTCTAAAAGAAAGTTTCTTAGTTAGTAAGTTAATATGAAATAAAATATAACGATGTCGGATGACTCATTTTCATTAATTATTAATTATATTAATACAATTATCACCCTTCCAATTTTGTTAATGAATTTCCGTTACAACGGCTCTTATTCTCTCCAGCAGCGTTAAGATCTCATTAAAGTAAATTACAATGTCTACTCGACCTTATTAAATATTATTTTGCACGATATTCATTTTTGCTTGGTAATGTACATACAAACACCTGTTCATTTCCAAGATTTTTAATTTTTTTCTGTGAGAAGGTTTTTTTATGTGACCTGGCGTTCCTTTCACCTGATGTTAAGTGATAACCGCCACCCATGGAAATTTGCCCGATCCGTAGAGCTGCAGATGCGTTGCCACTTTTAAAATTCAAAATTCAAAATATATTTATTCACATAGACGCTTGCGCGTTCTTATGAAACGTCAAAATTTTACAAAAAATATAATACGTTCGTAAGTAAGTTTTACCACCGCCACCGATTCGAAAAGCAGTTTCTGTTGAGAAGAAACTGGCCAAAAAAACCCGAACAGTAGCTCTTTTTTAAAACTATTAGCTTACAATATAATAGGACAGGTATACGTCTTATTTTGGCCTAATTTAATAAACTGGGTCCCAATTACTTCACTCAACAGACCAACGCAGAATTGTATCACTTCCACTTCACGTCTTATGTCAGGTCGTGGTACTCACCCATAATTTTTTACAATATATGTAAAAAATTATAATATTCAAACGTATATCTGTCTGGATTTCACTCAAGTGATATTTCTTTAGTAAACGGCATGGAAACAATTATAACGTGAACTATTGTTCGAGTCCTACGATGTATGTACGTATAATGTCTCATAATTGCGAGCTTTTGTTTAAAATGTTGAGCGTGCTCTTAATGACTTTCCTCTCTAAATAGGTATACGTAAAAACGATTTAGCGCGTATTTTTTAATTTTAGACTTAGAAAACGATCAACGAGATTATACTTTCAACTTAAAAAAAAAATGAACTTTTTTAATACCTTTAGTTACTAGGCATGTACACTAGTCAATACTGTTTAAGACTCAAATTATTTTTGATGATACATAAAAATTTATAGATATTTGATGTTAATAATGGTATATAACAGAAACCTTATTTAAGGAATGTTTA